GTTTTTTTTTTCAAGCATTCCATCTTATGTGCCCTTGTTTCGTTTTTCAACGCGGCTATTTTACTGCAGGACTCTGTGGGTGGATCTTCGGAGGCTCTATCAAAACTGACGGAGGCCGATTTGAAATTCCTGTTTGTGACCTAAATGATCGTTTGTGCGTGCCAAAAGCATCTGATTCGAACCCGGATTTTGTTGCTTTCAGTAGTATAAACAGTTTAAGCTTTTGATTGAATTTTGTTTTGAACTCAGCTGCTTGGATAAATTGCTTCAACTTCAGTTTATGTCTGTATTATAGGTTTATCGCCAGATTATGTGATCACTTTTTGGATTTCATATGGCTTGTTGACAGCATATGGTTTATACATGGAAAAATTATTAGGGGACTAAATTTTGTTATTTTTCACTGCTTAGGTATTATGTAAGGCTGCCTGATGCTTAATCATCAGGTCGATATTTTCGTTTTCGTTTTTACAAATATGCGTACTTTATTGGAAAATGATATATTAAAAAGATAATAGAAGGAAAAAAATTGACTTCTGATGGTATACATCGATTTGTTATTGAAGAGTTTTACAGGTTGACTCGTCTAATGTTTAGCCGAATTTGTGAAGGAATTAATATTTGAATTTGTGAAGGAATTAATATTTGGGACTTGCTGAATTGATGAATACTATTTTTAAGTAGTTCCAGTTGGATTGTTGATAGTTGACCTTAAACTTCATTTGAAATTCTGACATTTAATTCAGTATTTTCAAATGTTTGACTAGCTTATATGTATCAGACGAGGGTTCCTAAATTCAGACGCGTATGCTAATTGTGTGATACCCTAAATACAAAACCAAGACACAGACTAAACCTACTTGGTTCGGTGTAACGAGTCAGAATCAGTTAGGCAGTTCGATTTTGATCGATAGACATTTCGTTTTGAAACATCATACTTTTGAAGAACATTTAGATATCTTATTTTGAATTGTTTTTAAAATAATGACGCTTCATTGTATACGTATGCATACTATTCCGTAATGTAAATTAACACCAAACTTATTGTACATTAACTGAACGATTTATTTCTTAAGTTAAACAAACCGTAACTTACATGAATGGCATTGAATTGATTTTCTCGACGAGAGGAATCCAATGGTAGGTCACCCACCTAAAACAAACGCCAGACAAAGCTAGAATTAAGTCGATATGAAACAAAATATTTTATTCTGCCTTCGTGATTAGTGTACATTTTTGTATATATTTTTAAATAAATTATTATAGTAAGTTTGATATCTATTAATATAACGCATCAATAGAACGATCAAAATGAAATTTTGCCCACATACAAGCTCCTATACGATAAATTATTTCATAAACGGTCAGTACAAAATTTCGAACATATTCTATACTTTTTTGCTACGAATCCTACAAATGCATTTATTTTGTGATTCTACAATAGAGCACAAGTCCAAGCAATACCATGTCACGATAAATTTGTTCTGCGTTTTGATGTCTTTTGACAGTTGTATAATTTTGTTCTCTCCTCAACTTTTTTGGATAACAACAAAGAGAGAGAAGGCTTGATTTATATGTTTTTCTCCTTCTAGCTGTATGTTTTTCATCTAAATTTGTCTTCATCAGGAATTTATTTTATTTCATTACACTGTAATAAACAAGTCATTTAATGACGTTTAGCTTATTAGCATAACGAAAAAAAAGTAAAAAAAAAAATAATTTACCTACTTTTTAATTTTAAGAGTGTGCGAGTTGCATTGCTAACTTAATGTCTAAAAAGAATAAAAAATAAAATAAAATAAAAACTTACTGCCATTAAACTATTCATGGTGAAAGAATTTTTTTTTTTTTTTTAAGTTAGGAACTATTGTAGAATTTTGTAACGCAAAATATTAACATTTACGTGACTCTTTTTTAAATGCATAATTATTATAAATTTTTGAAGACCAAAACATATATACATTGTAATTTTTTAATATGTGGCTTTTTTTACAGGTGTCGTTATTTATGAATTTGGTAACATAACATAAGTATGCATTTTTATTAAAAAAGTATAAAGAATCTGCTCGCCTAACTATTAAACTGTTATTCACAAGATTTTGAATTTGGATTTGAAGAAAGCCCATATATCATTTGTATATATGGGGCTTGTTGTGGGCATGATGCCATGACACACAAAATAGAGGCTTTTTTTCTCAAGTTGCCAAATCGAAGTAGTGAATTACAATCGAGAGAACGTGAAGCTTGCTTCAATCACCCATTATTATTACATAAGCAACATCTTTTTAATCATATTTTTTTTTTTAAACTATATATTACTTTATTATAATATAGAAAGAAGAAGAAAAAGTTGGCCATGGCATGGGCTGCGTGACCTTCCTACAAGCTTATATCATGGACCTTTGCTCATGTTGCTTATATGGTTGCCCAAATTGAGATATATTTTTCAATTATTAGAGCTAAAATAGAAGGGGAATTTCAAAAGTGGTCATGCTATTTTGGGATCTATATATCAATAGTAGTTTTCTCATACCCACTGCAAAAAAATTGTTATATTCCAACGGAAAATCCTACGATAATATATTTTAATAGAAATTCCAACGGATATTCTAATGATATAGCTTACGTTGGAATTATTCCAACAGAAATTCAAAATATTGGAATGAGTTTTCCATTGAAATTTTAGATGGAATTTGATGATTCCAACGGCTATTTTTCCAACAGTTTTTTACCGTAGTAATTTCCGTTGGAATATGCAATTTCTATTGGAATTTTATTTCCACCTTCGTTGGAAAATCTACTGTTGGAATCGCCAAAATCCAACATAAATTCCAATAAAAAACTCATTCCAACAGAATATTTTTGTTGGAATTTCCGTTGGAATTCCATTACAATATATTTGTAATGAAATTTTCGGTTAGAATTCCATCATTTTGTTGTAGTGATCCAATCAATTAGAGTTATAAATAAATGGAAATTAATTTTCGAAAAGTGGCCACATTGTTTTGGGATGTATTAATAGTAGTTTTATCATAGTCTAATGATAGCCACATAGTTTTTAAAATCGGTCAATTTATCAATAATTTGGCAGAAATATGAACTTCGGTTGCAAATTTAATGGACATGCGCGCATGATGTGTTAATGTGTTGATCCAACTTAAATATGGATTTCTAGCCAAAATTATATTTTAATTGATCAATTTAAAGCTTGTAGGATTACTATAATTAAATTCTAATTAAAATACTTTCTATAGATACCATATAATTATGACTACTTCCAATTTTTTTTCCTATAGATAATTAATATTATTTTTTGTGCATTAGTGAACCAATAATTTGTTGATATGAGAAAGTTACCAAGTTCTATGCATGTGTAGATTTCTTCATTGAAAATTTCAAATTTATTAGTGTTGATTTTTTCATTAAAAATTTTCAATTTTATTAGTGATACGTATGTACATTATGTGCATGAAAATAAGTGCCACCGAAATCAGAAAATTTCGTAAGCAAGCCCCATAAAATGATTCCTATATTTAGTAAGCAAGCATGACTTTTGTTTTTCTTTATGTATTTATCAGTCTATTTATTTATTTTTTGCGAGATTTGGGATAAAGTAAACTTGACCTTATTATATGGTACGTACTTTGGTCCATAATTGTATCCAACTGGAATCTGGTAACGATTTTCTCATTCACATCTGACGTAATTTACATTAAATTCACATATCAAATACCAAGAATGACCATTATTTTATGTAGAGAACTATTTTTTCTATTTAAATTATACATTAATCAATTTAATAAATAAAAGTATCTTACCATTCATTCATATACAAATAAGTACCAAAACTTCAGATTTAACTTCCAAACATGTAGTATAATTTCTTTTTCATGCAGACCTAAACGTGAATTCATTGGTCTTTATGGAAAAAAAAAATTACAACTTTGGTTTTGTTGTTATACATATATATAGGGTAAAATATATGTGAAAAAAATTCCACCTATTTTCAATAGCTATGTCATTTGGTCACAAAAATCTTGAAATTTATTGAAAAAATTATCCAATTTTTAGAAGCATTTCTTGCCAAATTCTACCAAAGTCATGTTATATATATAAGTTACACTATTGGAATAATCAATTTGGATAAGGCAAAAATGCATTCCATGGGTTAATTTATAGGAAACAAGTAATGCTAGTTATTCCTCATGTTAATTAGTCAAGAATTCACTCACGAATTAATTAGAACTACAAAATATGTTGAGGAAAAACTGCAAAATGTATCTACCAATTAATTTGGTCCACATGATAAATTTGTCCAATAACAACATTTTGCCCAATTACTTAAGCTAGTGAACAATTTTTTTTTTTTTTATTATTATTTTTTTTATTGTATTTTATTTTCTCTTTTCTGATATTTTCTTATTTTTCTTTCTTTCTTACGAGATGGCGTTTAATAGCTACCAATGGCCGGTGGAGCATACGATGTTTAATAGAGTGTCGACGACTACCAATACAGCATCTTGAATTCTTGAAGAGCCAACTTTGAACTAGTAAATGCTGGGCATGTTATTCCAGAAACACGAGCCAAAGTTCCAATCTTGATTTGCTATTCCAGTCGAGACTGTAACCTGGTTGTACCTTGCGGCATTGTGTTGACTTTCTATCAATTTGGTTGTACCATTAGTCAACATTGGAGATCCACTGCTACGCGCTTCATCCCAGTCAGGGATTGGAACAGATAGCGGAAAATTATCGAGAAGGTTCAATAATTCATCGTCCAACGCATTATTTCCCTCTTCCGGAGCCTTGGAGTTTCGACCTATTTTAATTAAAGTCATGTTAGGAACAAGGTGAACAATGTAAAGGAATAATCATAATTTATAGCCAGCAAATTAGGTTGTTTATTATAGTATGGTACACTAAATGATATTATACTAAATCAATGTGTTTCAATTATATTTCAAATTCAAGTTAACTAATTAATGTTCACAGTATCATGTATATATATATCAAGATATGTATATATATATATAGTAGAACAACCATATAGGGCTAAATAATTGTATATCCTTGATTTCTTGACAACTATTCTTGCAAGAATTCTTTATGGTAACGTAAAGCAACTTCTCAGTTAAATATGGGAGCATACAAACCATGCTTGCAAAGACCCCACCTTTTAGGGACTATTTACATTTAACACTACTTAAAAAATTCAAACCAAAACATAACATAAACATTCTCTTTTATCTTCTTCGACTGTCAAACTCAACACAAAATGTTTCAATCAGTACAAATTCTTGTATAAGGTGACCTAACCGTTAGTCGGGTCGCCTTTCATATTTAAACAAAATAAATTGCATACTTATAGTACGGACAAAAATTCTATGGAGCCATCCACCACTTAATATATTGATACCTGTTCAAATTGTATTTATTATAGAACACTTGTCAATATACTATTGGTGAAGAAGTGTGGATGACTCTATAAGTCGAGTCATCTAATGACTTCGTAGCAAAACTGATAGTACGGAATGTGATACTATTGAAAAAGTATGATTGTAAGCGTTAGACTGAATTAACAGTAGTCTTATTGATCAATCAAGGCTAATCTAACATGAAACAATGGTTTCATATGCATTTTAAAATGGCAATCATACAACATAAGCTCAACTTGTAAACTAAAGATTATATGCATCAACAAGTGTAGCACAAAATGCACAAATTCAAGAAAAACTAAAAGGAGATAGAGATTAGCAACTCAAGATCTGAAAGATAAAACTCATACCTTCATAGCTATTATCAGAAATTCCACTGCCATGCCCAAACCCAACAAAACCAACTTCCTCCCCAAGCACAGTTGTACTCCCACCAAGAAGCTCCTCCGTTTTCTCGGTACAACCCGCCAAAGCACGCGACTCCCCTAACAAATCCTCCAACAAACCGCTCCTTCGACTGCCCACCTCGAACCCCTCGTCGTTCGAGGTGGGCCCCACCACGAAGTCGCTGGACGAAGCTGCCGGAGTTATCACCGGCGATTGGATTGAAGGCAGCCCTAATCCCATCATATCCGGCCCGTTGTCAATCCCATCATAACCGAAATCTTTGTACGGAACCAAACAGGGCACGGGCAGGGGATCCGAAAGGCCTTGATTGAAAAACGGGCTCGAGGGAAAAGAAGAATTCGAGGCGGTCAACGAAAGGGCCAAGCCGGCGTTGCCACCGTAAAAACCGAGCTCGTTATTTGTAGGTTTAAACAACGGTTGGGAATTGTTATACGTGTCGTGATAGAATGGAGGGTTCGGATTAATCACGGGTAGATGAGATGATAAAGAAGGGGAAGATGATTTTTGCACAACTCGGTGAGGGTAAATCGGTAATCCGGCACGCTGGCGTCGCTTGAGCCGCGTGTTCCAGTAGTTCTTGATCTCGTTATCGGTTCTTCCGGGGAGCTATTTGTGTACATGGCAAGAAAAAAGAAATAAAAATGAATTTTAAAAAAAAAAAGTTGAAGATCTTGTTTTTCTCATATAAGAGGCAAAGTTTATTCCAAGAGAATGATTTGGAAACATCTATTAGTTGCAAATAGTTGAAAGTGATTGCTAGTTACTAAAATTGATTGATTCATACCAAAACAGAGAAAAACAGAACATGACTCAACATTTATAGAATTTAAAAAGCACACACACACACACAAATGAAATGAATGAAAAATTTTCCTAATTATAACATGAATCAAGATTTAGAGGTAACTTAGCTAATCAAACACACACCTGAGCAGCCATGCGGGCCCACTTGTTGCCGATCTTCGCATGAAGCTCGACAATCAGCTTCTCCTCCTCGGGAGTGAAGGCGCCTTTCTTGAGATTGGGCCTCAAGTGGTTGGCCCACCTGAGCCGGCAGCTCTTGCCGCACCTCATAAGGCCCGAGTTCCTTTGAACCGCGTTCCAATTGCCTTCGCCATGTTTTTTCACGTATTCAATGAGGATCACGTCCTCGGAAGTTGTCCACGGACCTTTTTTCATCGTGTTCTTGCTCTTCGCACTAGCGGTCAAGCTTCCTAATCCTCCCGACAAATCGGGTGCCATTTTTTTTATTCTTTTATTTTTGGGTTTTTTTACTTTGATTTTTTGAGTTTTTGAATTGAAAAAAAAGGTGTGAAGAAAGAAGAATGATGAAATGAGGTTCAAAGAAGAAGGTGTGTTGTGGGACCAAAAAGTTAAGGAGTAAGGAAAAATGAAGGCTATGTGTGTGTGTTAGTGTGTGAAGAGGTCATCCTCTCCAATGGGGGGTTTGAGGAGAATTTATAGGCAAAAGCTTATAATTCGGCCCCGGGTTGAATGCTCATCCATGTACAAATTTGTCCATTGGATTTGTTAAGTAAATTCTAAGGAAAATTAAATTCATGTTAAAATAAGAGTCACTCCAACCCAGCCGCTACTTCCTTGTATTTACGCTAAATTGGCGAAAAATATTCTCTAGGACTACAATTTTTTTTATAATATGTATTAATAAATGTATTTATTATGTTGAATAATTTCGAGCTTTTTATTGATTTATGTATTATAATAATATTTTGTATTTTTTTAATATTAAAATATTATATGAATAAAAATTTGTGTATGAATAAAAATTTACCACAAAGTTTTTTTCAACATAATACACATCTTCATATAACAAATTTATTTATAATAGAAAAAAAGAAATATGTGAAAAATTATTTGACGAATAAGGATTAACACAAGAAATTTATCTTTAATGACCTACATTATAAATTAAAAATTCTCTTAAATTTTAGTTAATGTTTTAGTCAATCGGTAATATTTTAGTAAATACTTGATACATGTTTTAGTAAATAATATAATCTTTATATAAATATTGGTGTACTATTTATATTTTATTAATTATGTAATGATAATAATTTTGAATAATTAAATATGTGTTAAACAATAGATCTAATTAGATTACATTGGTGATATTAATATCAAATATGTGTAAAATAATATATCTAGTTAATTTTTTTTTATATTAAAATAATGAGAATAAAAAGAAAATATTTTGTGAGTAAAATGTAGCGCGAACGATTGGAGACGAAACTTAATTTTTGCTTCACTCTACTATAAAGTGGAGTAAACTCTGCACTAGAGTAGACATAAGAGTTGGAGATGGTCTAAAACATTAGGTTTCATGTACGGTCAGTCTAACCATTAGGTTCACATACGTTCCTCACAAAGATGCATACCTTTTTTTGTTAGAAAATGTTGTAACTTAGAAAATGACATAATCGGTAGTATGACATGAGATAATATAAGTATGCATTTTTGTTCACATTTTATGACAGTTCGAACCGTTTAACGATTAGACTGACTCGTACAAGAATTTATGTAAATAAGAGGAAATAAAATTCTAAAAAAATTATTTAATGTTATATGAAATGTAGGTCGTTTACTAGGTCAGTCTAGTTATTAGGTCGGTATATATTTTTTTTTTCACAAATACACATTAGAAATTTTCGCACTTTAGCAAAAAAATATAATGTAAGTATGAGATAAAATAGGATAATTATGCATTTTATTTGCATAGTATGACCGAATAATCTGTCTAACCGTTAAACATAGTATAAAAAAATTGTATAAATAAAGATGTAACATAAAATTATACTACCTCCTATTTTTAATAAGTGTTATTTGGCTTTATCAACAATTAACTAAATAAATAACGTTTTGGATCTTTTGTACATATTTTTTCATTATTGCTCTCATCTAGCTAATAAATACACTACGTCTTTTTATATTTACTCTTCATCTTTTCTCAAAATATCTATCTCTATCTTCATTAATGAGGGTTAATATTGACAAAAAAAAAAATTCTTAATAATTGTTCAACTTCTCAAAACGACACTTCTTAAAAAAAAAGAAGTAAAAAGAATGGGGGTTGGGGTGGGGTTTAATTGTGCAGTGTAAATTTGTCCTAACACAAATAATTGTGGGCTACATGATTTTTATGAGCATGGTTTTCCACTCCATGAATTACGACAATCCTCGGCACTGTATTTAATGTGTGTTTGGGTGAATGGGATAAAGTATGCCTCTAATTTATAACAACTTTTGAGATTTTGAATGGTGCTTTGAGAATTTTTATTTTTTATTTTTTACATTTTACTGAAATTTGTAAAAAAAATTATATAAGTCTATATGTGGAATCAGGGTATTGTATATGTATTTTATTTTTAAAATTCCATTAAGTCTTTAAAAGTCCAAACAAATTTTAAAGATAAATAAATGGAATACTTCATAACTATTTTTTAAAAATTTGAAATCAATAATTTCAGGAGTTTTAAAAAATTATTGAAATCTCAAATGAGTACCTTTTAACTATTGAAAGTATGAAAAAAATCTACAATTCTTAAAATCTAAAAAAAAAATTACTTTAAAAAATTCGAATGAGTACACTCCAGCGTCAACTTTTAATGCTCCGTAATCTTGTATGTCAATTTTTTGTGCTTGTCAAATCATTATGTCAATCTTTTTGTTTTGAATTAGTTTATATTGATCTTGATTTTTATCCATTCTTATTAAAACCTTTAAAATTATAAAGATTTAATCAATTTAAGTAATATGTATATATCAAATTTCAATAACTTGTTAGATGAAAAATCTATTTATAATTCTCAAAATTAAAAGTAAAATTGATTGAATTAAAGGTTGTCATTTCTTGGGCAAATAAGCCTATTAACTTTTGCTGATGCACGCAATAATTTGTATTGGCACTTTGTGTATTATTATGTACAGATATGTTTGATACTTGTAAGAAAAAATTGGTTTTGTACCGATTTAACGATTCTACTTTTCGTAAGTAGAAAACTTAGAAAATTCTCAAAACCTTTTTAAGGTGAATGAGAAATTAATTCTAATTGTTATATGTTAATTAATTGAGTTTAAATAACTCAAAAGTTGTAGGGTTCATAAACATTCTGTTTTAACAAATATTTGGACGAACTAAACGAGACATAATTATGCATTATGTATGCTAGAATTGTAGAAGGGCTCGTTGGGGACAAATAGGAAAAAACGGAACTCGATTCCGGGTCCGTATGAACTCGTACGAGCCCGCGGCGCACGGGCGCGCAACTGGCAGCGGAAATAAAAGGGTCGCAACCCTTGGTAACCATAAGGTATCTTTTGGCCACTAGATGCATCCGTTCTCGTTCGGACACGTCCCAAAAGGTGTCTTTTGACACTTAAACCTCTTGGAGGTGTTTCCCTACATCTATAAATACTCACATACTTGAAATCATTAATAATATGAAAATTAGAGAGCTCTTGCATTATTTTTCAAAGATCATATAGCATATTGTGGTCTATGATTTTTTCATTGAGTCTTGAGAGTTCCAAACAATAGTAGTGTTCGCCGAAGGCTTGTATATTTGAAGTACTGCTATATACAAGTCGAAATCGTTGTATCTTGAGACGTTTGCCGTTAACCTGAGTATTTTACGGAGCAATTTCGTCTTAAGGAGAACATAATTATTACGTGCCTCGACTTTGATTTTTGTTTCGTTTTCTTCATTTTCCTTATGCCGTCTTTTTGATATTCACATATCACAAATATACTACAATACTCTAGAAAAAGAAATGGATTAAAGATTCTTCAATTTTTTTGCAAACAAAGATGCTTTGCGTTTTTGTAAATGGTTTAATTCTATTTAAATTATTTATTTACTTTGATAAGGAATTAGTCCAATAATCCTGGTTTTAGTAAAGTTCGTTTTCGTTGAATTTTAAAGTGCACACTGAAGTAAAGGTCAAGCTTTTAGTACACTTGTTGCCAAACTTTCTGTCTTATGTGTCGAACGGTTAGACGGTCATATTTTTTAATAGATATGTGTATTTTTCAATTCAAATGTCGTAATCTAAAACGTACGATTATTTCATAATATAGATATACATTTTTTTCAAAAAAAAAAAGAAAAAAATGGCAAATCAACAGCGTAACAAGTAACAATTAAGTAAGAATTTGTATTTACTATGTCAAGGCATCATCCTCGAGCAACCAAGCAACCCTGAAATCCCCCAACTTTCGCTTCTGGATGTAATTTCAGTGCCATCCAAGGGCCTTCTTCATTCGAGGTTGAGGGTTAATTTCTTATGTAGGCTCATTTTGGGTTGTAAGTACATGGGCCTCAATAATGGACTACACTTCAAATGGTTGGACTTGGGTTGGTATGGCCTTATGAAACACAATCTATGTGTTAAAACAACCGTACTTATTTGGCGAATTTTCATGTTTACTATATGATTGAGAAATAATTGTAAACATACGATGATCAAATCTTTTCACTTACCAAAACTGAATTGCAAAGCATCCTTAATTTGCGGAGGTCATTTGAATTCACCGACTTTCATTATAAAAATAAAAATATACACATGGTAAGTCAATATATCATACTAATTAGGAATTTGTTCAATACAAACTAGTACAGAGCCCGCACGGGGTGCACAATTTTAAGGCTATTTATCCAGGCTTATAATTATATACATGAATAAAGAAAAATGTATACGTGCGAAGCACGAGATATATTTATTTGGAGAATATTATATTATAAGATGCAATATTCAATAAAAGTTTATAATACGCAAAAAATTGTACAATGTTCAATAAAAGTTTTATAATATTCAAGTGGAGTCTTAAAGTCTCTTGTACATTAAGACTACTGACAAAATAATATTTTAATCAATGAGTTTCCTTTCCTTGTAGCCAAATTGTGAATGTGACTTGAGGAGTACAACAAATCGATATATAGCTGACTTGCTTTTTTCATTGTAGTTTTTTTTTTCTTTTTTTTATAATGAATTTAAAGATATTCTAAAATATAACAAAAATTAATTTTGTTATTACAATTAGGAATTTTACTAAATATAAACTCTCAATCTATGGTGTTAATCAACGTTTAAGTCTAACAAATTAGGAATTTTTACCTCTTTTAATCAACGTTTAAGTCTAAAAAACAATAGAGTTATTATAAGTTTTTTTCTCTACATCTTTTAAAAGTAAATTTAATTTTAGCATATAAATTTATGCCTTGATATAAGAGAAAGTAACAGTTTTACTTATTGTTGTTCACCATATAATATTTAATTATTAGTTTACTATATAATAAAAAAAAATTGTTAAATAGTTTAGTAGAATTGTTATAAAATTATATGAATTTTTTTTTTTTTTCACAATATGGATTTAATATTTTTTTTATGATTTGATAATATAAACAAATCTATACTTAACTTTGACAAATAAAACAAATAAATACTGTAGTAAGTATATATACTAAATAGGAATATATTTGGTATAATCAAATACCAAATATAATCAAATAAGTCAAAGTGTACATTTTTACTTGATATTTGATTTTTTTATTATTAAAATATTTTTATTATACTTACCTTTTTAAAATAAAACAAATAAATAAATTAATTAAATAAATAAAATATTATAATACCAAAATAGTAATGACATTTAATGCAGTTGACTTTTCTGGATAGTAAATGTAGTAAATAGAATATCCTTTTATATAATATAATACGGAAATAGTAATGCAATAAATGTTGTTGACTTTTCTAGCTACTTAATTTAGTAAATAGTACCCCCTTTAATATAAGTATAGATATGAAAGATAATGAATTTGAATTTCAAATGACTATATACAAATTACACAATCCTGAAAAAAATATTTTGATGTTGATGAATTAAATCTCAGAAAACAGGTATTTTATAAACATACTATATACATTTTATAAACGTTTTATATACTATTTGGTTTTTTTTTTAGGATTCGATAAATCTCGAGCAGACTTTGTGCAACAAGACGGGGCAGATCTTAAGCAACAAGGGTACTTGAGCAACAAGGTTGGACAGATCTTAGACAACAATGTAGTTGGACAACAAGATTGGGTAGATATTGGGCAACAAGGGTACTTGAGCAACAATATGAACTCTCCTATAAAAGGGTCTCAGGTATGGAAAGGTTCATCTTTTTTTCTCTTTGGTTTTTCAGTGCTCCTATAATTATCACCTTTTTTTTTTTTTTATATANTTTTTTTATATATATATATATCTTCCGAGAGTTTACTTGAGTGTCGGATGTCTACTGTCAAGAACATCCCCGATGTGTTGCAGGTCCACGAAGCTCATTTGAAGAAAGAAAACTGGTTCGAATCCATTTAATTGCCCGTTTAAGTACGAATTACCTATCATAACCCATTTTGAGGATTGGCCAATTAAATAAATCTAATATTAGCTTGTTTGATATAGAGTTTATTTGATTAGTTTTTTTTTTTACCCAAAATATGAAAACTTAAAAAAACATCATTTTGGGTGGAGAAATTTAAAAAATATAAAATAACATAACAACTATAAGTTTCCGCTAGCTACCAAATCAAAAATTCTATGGAGCCATCAGATGATTTTCATATGGAGTCATCCACCACTTAATGTATTGACACCTGTCAAAAGTGTATTTACTGCAGGACACATGTCAATACACTATTAATGGATAAATGTAGATCGCTCTCTAAGCCGAATCATCCAATGGCTCCATAGCAAAACTGGTTACCAAATATTTATTTGACAAATAATCCACTAGTCAAATAAGATATTATAATAAACTATTGACTAATACAAGTAGCTAACTGGGACATAAACGAACCAATATTCGAGTCAACTCGGCTCCTAAACTAAACGAGCTATATATTCAAGCTCTAACTCGGCTAGTTAATCAATATTAAATACAATTTTAATTATAACAATTCATCTTGTCGACTCGTACGAGCATAGTGGCTGAAGCTTTGAAGGTGAAGAAAAAAGAACTGAATAGCAATGTTATCATACGGTTGCAGAATTCTCCCCAGAACCCTCGTCCACAGATCAAAGTCCTCACTCGTTTGGACCCGTTTCTCTTCCTCCGGATCACTCCGTCAGGTTCGTGCAATGGCGACTGGTTCTGATTCCTCTTCGCCGTTCAAGAAAGTTCAGATTGAGAGAGATGACTCGGTAGGGTTTCTGTTTCCTTGGGCACCGATCTTTGTCGCGGTTATCATTTCCATTTTTTTTTTTTTATAATTTAGGGATTTTCTCTGATCATTCTTATTATTAGTTCGTGCGGAGAAAGACAAGACTTTAGTGAGAAATGAACATCCGCTTGTGTGCTTAAATATCAATCAGAAAAAACCCACCAAAAAAAAGGGAGCTTTGGTGAGAAATAGAATGTGATATAGGGATTCCTTGCACAAATTTCATTAGCTTAATTGTGCGAAGAAAGAGAGGACTTTTAGCCAATTGAACATCCGCTTGTATACAAATATCAGCTGCACAGTGGGTGTGGTTTTAGCTCGTTGCCTACAAATCAACTTCGATTTATTTTTATTTTTATTTTTATTTTTTGTCAATCAGAAAAAAACCCCAGAAAATAAAAATAAAAATGGAGCTTGGTGTTAAACAGACAGAAAGTGATATAGGACTTCCTTGCTCACATTGTCATCTGGTTTCAAATGAACTCGTTAGGATTTTGTATATAGCTATTTATGTTATGGATGTATTTCCTGAATGGGGAATTTGTCAATTAGACATTCGATGCCTATGTGATCGGGAAAGACGATGCTCCCGGGATTGTTGTTCTTCAAGAATGGTGGGGTGTTGATTTTGAGGTCAAAAATCATGCCCAGAAGATTGCGCAGTTCGACAGGGAATACAAAGCATTGATACCCGAGTAAGGAACAATGTATTCGTCATGCAAGTTCCAGTTTACCTTTTTATATCTGATATTTTTTTTATTTTTTATTTTTATACATTTTATGGTCATGATTTTCTCTAAGGTGTTCGTAGATGTCCATTTCTTACCCTTTTTATTTTTCTTTCAATTAGCTTGTACAGAGGGAAGGTTGGTCTAGATGTTGCCGAAGCTCAGCATTTGATGGATGGTCTTGACTGGAAAGGTGCCGTGAAGGATATTGAAGCCTCTGTCAACTGGCTCAAGGCAAATGGTTCTAAGAAGGTGTGTGTGACTTTATAATGTTCGAAATATATGCTTGTGGGACATGAATGCATTAAGAAGTGCTTATTAATTGTTGCTAAATATGCGTGTTTTCTTTCACTTGCTCTTAGTATGTTTAGAAATATACATTTGTTTCTCCTCGTGCTGTAGTTTTTTCTGTTCTTTTTCAATTGACATTGTATGAGGCAATAAAAAGTGCTCTAGATATGACAAATCTTGTGATTTTTGAGAAAGAATAAAGTTTGGAGCTTTAGCGTCACTTTATTTCCTTATAACCGTGAATGCTGAACACTAAGTGTTTGGATACGAATAAACTCAATCCATACTCAATTCATACTCAAAATCTAACTCAACTTTAACCCAACACACTATCTTCAATTTATACATCACATTAAATTTAATTCACTATTCATGCACTCACATAATTTTAACTAACCATCACTACACATCATCTCTCTCCTACTTTTACATCAAATCAACTTTAATTATTTTATTTAAATATTGTTTTAATATAAGCTCAAAATCCCACTAACAACTAACCATGTCACCTTTTTCCATATTAAGCTTAGTTAACCAAAAAACCCGTTTTGAGTGGATATTGCTGTACTTGGACAGGCAGGCCATTTTATTCTACTTAGCACATTTTTTAGGTAATATGACTATGCACTTGTTTATTTTTGCGTGTTTTACTAATATAAGATCTTTTACAGGTTGGTGTTACTGGGTTCTGCATGGGTGGTGCTCTTGCTATTGCAAGTTCTGTATTGGTCCCAGGTATTGATGCTGTGGTATCTTTCTATGGAGTTCCTTCAAAAGAGCTTTCTGATGTCAGCCAATCTAAAGCGCCAGTGCAGGCTCACTTTGGTGAACTGGATACCTTTGCTGGGTTCTCAGATGTTGAGGTATTTTGTCATTCTGTGTGGGCTCTCTTTGCTGATCCATCTAATTTATATTTCAGATCAATCTTAAATCAAAAGGTTTCGAGATACTGTGCTTGAGTTTTTCTTGAATTGTGTAATCTAAAAGCAAATAACTATAGATTTCTAAGGAAGATGTATTCGTTTGGGATTTTGAGTGACATTTTGAGACTTTTTAATATTTTCAGATTTTGGAAGACTCAATATGATATATTGAGTCTGGAGTTGGGATTTGAAGTGGGATTTTGTGTAAGGTTATTTCTTTTGAAATCCCAGCAATTCTCAAAAAGTCTTAATATATCATAGTCTCAAATAAGTTACATACCTTAGAATTTTGTAAGACTTTTTAAAATCTCAAACGAATACCCGGAGACTTTTAAAAGTCTTTAAAAGTATTAAAAAGTCAAATTAAATTAAATACATCAAGATTTCTAAAGTTTTAAAGTCTTTAGAACTCCCAAATGAATACGAATGATTGCTGAATAAATTAACATAGTTTCTCGTGCGGACTTGTTATTCTTTTGCAAAGGAGTTGTGTGCCTTTCACGTAGGCTTGTAAACAAATCAAATTTTTTGATTCGATTCGATATTCGAATTCGAAATATTTGAATTCGATTACGAATAATGTTTTATATTTGAAAGTTAAACGAATCCGAATTCGAATTTGTAGATATTCGATTCGAAATTCGAATATTCGATGCGTTAACAATAATTATATAAATTTTATAAATTATATATAGTATACATTTAGTTTATAATATATATGTATATATATTGTTATATTCTTAAATTTTTATGACATAAAAAGTAAAAACATCTTAAATTATTAATTTTTCCTAAAAATGTATGAAAAAATAAAAATTATTTTTGTAATTATAATATTATTTAATTATAATATTTTTCTGAAAACGAATTTCGAATCGAATCGAATATGTTCGAATATTCTAAACGAATCGAATACGAATCAAAAAATGAGTTCGTTAACGAATTGAATACGAATTCGAATCCTCGAATATTTTAACGAATCCGAATCGAATATCTTAGTATTCGCTTTGATTCGATTCGTTTACAACCTTACTTCCACGTGTTACGAACGGGACCTTGCATATTTAAAAAACCTCTAAAAGGTCAAAATGATTTCCTAACAGCTCATGGGAGCTCCAACTTGACTGTTTATGCATGCTTTATGTCAACATTGGACTTTATGGAACAATCGAGCCTCCACCAAATCGCGTCTCGAATTTTATATTATATCTGTTATGTTGTACTTTTGAAAAGCTATTAATATACGACAAGCAAAATATATGGGCAATTATCTTATTTTTTTATTTTTTTTGGGTTCGTAACTTTATATGCAGACTGCGAAAGCTCTAGAACGTAACTTTCCGCCAACTGATTTCAATGAGGTGTACATCTATAAAGGAGTTGGACACGCCTTTATGAACTGCTCGAGTGAAGGCATTGAGAGAAGGAAAAAGATGGGAATAAACGATGAAAATCTTGAAGCGGCCAATTTGGCTTGGCTTCGTTTTCGTGCGTTTATGAATCATTACTTATCGGGCTGAATAGATACTTTCGTGTTTGATTACCTAATGTAGAATGATGGACACAACCCTTTTTTTGTTCAGTGAAGATTGTCGGTTTGTGTTTCGTGCTAATTAGGTTTTATGGATTTGTTGTGTCCCTTTTATGTGCTTTTTTGGAGCTAGAGTTTGTGGGATTTTCTGAAATTATGGCATGATGAATTTCTGTATTTATTATGAAGCCTTTCTAATTTTATTTACTAAATCATGATTGAGAACTGTTTTATATAGTTTGTCATGTACTCATTTTAGTTGTGAATTAGCAGTATAGTTGTGTCTAAACCGTTTTTTTTTTTTTGGNTTGTGTTTAACCGTTAGATAAGTCAAATCTGACACTTGTTAAAGGAAAAATGTATACTTATGTCATGAAATGTTATACTTTTGTTTATGTTATTTTTTAGAGTGTGTTATTTTTTATAGTGACATGTTATATTAATAAATGACGTTTTAAACTTTGAAATTATGCATATTTGTTGAAAAAGTATGATTGTTTAACTGTTAGACTCGTCTAATTGCAGTAATATTGTTTGCTAAATAATTGTGGGGAAAATTCTATTACAAGGCTCAACTTTTTGTAATTGTATCAATTTAAGGCCTGAATTTTATTCTTTCTCAATAGAAGACTTACATTTGAGATTATTCCCAACTTAAGGCCTACTTTTTTAGTTAACTTTTCATTACAAGACCCAACTAACTTTACTTTTTAACATAAATATGTGAACCAATTATTATGTTAACAAAAATATAATTTTTGTTTTCTTGTAATATATTTTTTACATAATTATAATAAAAAATAATAATAAATATCTTTAGTAAAATTACATTAATAATAGAATAAAACTATATAAATTACAATTATGCAAAAATTTAATAAAGATTATTTTTAAAAATTGATAATTTGAAAAATATTCAATTAAAATATTATTTTTATTAATAATATAAATACGAACTAAAATAAAATAACAATATTTGAATAATTTTTCCTTCATTTTAGCTTTTCACGATTTTAACTTTTCTTTTTAAAAGCAAAATTTGATACCACAGATATTAATAAAAATAATATTTTCATTACATATTTTCAAATTCATTTATCATTTTTTTAAGATACGCATTATTGAAATATTTCACAAATATAATTTATATAGTTTCGTTATTTTTATTAAGGAAATTTTACTAATATTTATTGTTTTTTTATTACAAGTATGTAAAATATAAATATAAGAAAAAATAATAATAATATTTTTGTTCACATAATAGTTGATTCACATATTTATGTCAAAAAATAAAGTTAATCGGGCCTTATAATGGAAAGTTAACAAAAAAAGTAGACCTTAAATTGAGAATAATCTAAAATGTAATTACAACATAAATGGCTTTAGGTAGCACTAAAGAAATGATACGTAAAAGCTATAAAATGTTACGTAAAAGCTATAAAATGTTACCTATAGACAATAGGTAACACAATATTGGCGCTGCAGTTATTTGTGTCACCTAAAGTCAAAGGTAATACTTTTGATAGTTTTTGGTAACATTTATATGATACTTTTGTTAGTTTTTTGGTAACACTTATTTTAAAAGTGTTACAATAATATGATACATAAACCAATAATATGATACATAAATCAATATTTTGTAAAGTATTACCATACATGGCGTTACTTAATTAAAGTCATTTATATTGTAGTGAAAATGAATAAAATTCAGGCTACATTTATAATTGTGTGAGCCAAAGTTACCACAATGTGTTGCGATCTTTTTCTTGGCACCCAAAGGCATATTATATTGACATGCATTATTTATCAATACCCTTATAATCCCATTTGCACAATATTATAAATTCACAACATTCATTAAAAGAGATAATTTTCCATATTTATACAGAATAAAGTGGTCTGAAAATAGGAATGCTGGAAACCAGATTTCTGTAGGTTAGATCCGATTGTAAGTAGAAAACATTAAAACAGTATAAAGCTACTGTCAAAAAGGCATAAGCTATTATTATAACAATTGACTTTTGCATTATTGATATATTAAAAATTTATTGCTCCATCCAAAGGTCCACCTGCATGTTCTTTAGTGAGGGGGAGAGATGGATAATCATCATAATCTGCACGTTCTTTTCAATAGTTTACCAACAATTAAATTCAAAGGAGCTTGACAAATTTGAATAGTTCAAAATGGCATATTGTTATACAAGAAAATTATAAGTCGTGGAATTTAAAAAGTATTATCCTCAACTAGTACGTAACCCGTGCGATGCACGGGATGTAAAATTTGGAAGAATAATATAACCTCACGTGCATTAGGATCGAAATTGAAATCATTAAAATACATAGGAACATTATTGAATTATAAAAATTTTGGTAACAATCATATATTATTAAAAACCCCCTTGTACACAACATTATGAGTTTGATTATTTGGTAACTCCTCATTATCACAAACTAATATTTTCAAAAGAGACAAATCCTAAAAATCAAACTAATATTTTTGGTGAACAAACTAATATTTTAGGATTGGTGAACAAACTAATATTTTAGGATTTTTAGGATTTGTCTTTTTTTGGTGAACAAACTAATATTTTAGGATTGGTTATATGAATAAGGCTACCTGTTTTTGGTGTTCTTTTCATTCATTTTCATTCAAACAATCTGATGACTTGTATAATGAAATCCGAATCTTAAGCTGAAATATTTAAAAAAAAAGAGTTTTTAAAAATTGAAATGTCAAGGCAATCAGTTCAGATTAATTAAAGGTAAAAAAATATCCGCTCCTTGAAATAAAGACGTGTGCTATCATTAACCAAATATTCGGTTATTGATATAGAGTGATTACCAAAAAATAGAACGCGATAAGGACGCTTCATGGAAATATCAATGGGATAAGGTCATAACAGATTGCTATACATTTTAACGATAAAAGCTCAGATGGAATGATTTATGATAATTATGTTGTAATTAATGAATTAATTAGATGTGTGAAAATGACATAATTAATGAGAAGTGTGAAAAGAACATAATTAATGAGAGTGTGAAAATGACAAAAACTTACCAGTTTTGGAAAATACTTAATGCAAATCCGACATTGACCATAATTTGACCTACTATTTTGGATAAATGTTAATTCTTATTATATAAGTATAGATCTTGATTAATTGTTATGCAGATCTTTTTGAATAAAAATATGGATTTATGTTATGAAATATATACTTTTCTTTGTAAGTAAAACTTTGTAAAGTATTCCCTTATCCTTACCATCCCCTTCACAAATTCAATAAAAAGGCTTAGACATGAACTAGGTTATATTGCATGAATTAAAGCTA